TCTCTTCCAGTAAAGTCCTAAACTACTCTAAATAGTGACTGTAAGACTTCCTTGTCACAATGTATGCATCTTCTGTAGTCCTTGAAATAAAATATTTTACTGCTGCTCTCCAAGAGATGATATAAGTTGGATATTTGTTGGTTTTACATTCAGATAACCAAGCTCAACAGCTCTCTCCCTCCCCCATTATTTCAGACAACATTCTTCAATTAAATATCTTTCAAATGATCCAAATTCTTACAGAGATACTTTCATTAGGTCCATTCTTTATTCCGTAAGTCTTGGCATCAACTTTATAATGGGCATACCTTTTGGGAGGGAAGCCTGAGGGAGCATGCGTTCCTACATTCTTGACACCCAGTTTCAGTTTGTAATAGGTGTTTCAATGTTGCTGAAAAGAGGAAAGCGCAGGAAGAGTGCAGCAATGAAGCACCGGGAAGCTGCAGAGAAACATCTGAACAAAATCAGGGCTACCTATACCCACAGAGCCGCCAGTGCTCGGAGCCTTCTCCCAAGCCGAGTATTCAACTAGGAGAACATAATGAGAAGCAAATAGAGTAATTAACACAGTCCAACTGGATGCACTCCAGCCAAATATGTGTGAGTTACATAGTGAATCATTGTCTCAAAAACAAACAAGCAAACAAAGAAAGACAGGCCATATCTCAAAGGTTAGAGCCCTTCCCTAGCAGGCACACATGGATTCAATCTCCAACAGTGGAGAAAAATCAAATCAAACCAAACCAAACCCCCGAGATTTCAGCAAAAAAGAAGCCTCCTTGGACTGGATATTAGCCTGATAGCTCCAGAATGTGATTGAAGGATCTTACCAAGTGCAGGTGAAATCATGAAAAAACAAAAAACCAAAAACCAAAAAAAAAAAAAAAGTGAATCAATAACATGCTTTTGCCACTGTTTTCCCAGTGGGTATGGGCTAAACTATATATTAGTCTAGCTCTTCAACTTTCAACTATTGTCATTAAAATAGGCTCAGTCAGACAGTTGAATATTGGGCTCCTTTTGTTTTGAGCAATCAACCACACTTTGTATTTCATGTCCTCCTAACCCCTTCAGGACCTTTAGAATGGTGGCTCCTGGGTATGGGATGTGTGAGACCAAGGTGTTCTATTGTCTAACAGTTCTCTTTCTGTGTGTTTGTGTGTTTGGTTTAGTGGTGTTAAAGCTTGCAGAAGAGGAATAAAAAGACAAGTCTTAGTTCTGGGAATGTACTTCAGTGACAAAGTACTTACCCAGCTTGTTTATGGCACTAGGTTCAATCTTCATCACTCAGAAAACAAAAATACGCCTCTTCATCAAATATCTAAGGTGACCCCCATGTAATTAATCTCTCATGTAAGTGCTACTCCAATGTAATTCATCACCATTGAGACTCAGGCTAGATTCCTATAGATTCCAATGACAGGGCTCTCACCAGAACAACTCTCTCAGGTTTTGCTGGCATCTCTGAAGACTGGGCAGTATCATACATGTAACTTTTATATTAACATTACTATAATATGTATCTCTTTTTGTCCTACTTTGCAACTCTGTATCTCAAACTTTTGTCTCCTCAGCTTCCACTTTGGACCCTGCCAGCATGCAGGGATTTGTTTTTCTTATCTCTTCAGAACTGGAAACTTTAGAAGAAAAACAACCCTGGCCCTTTCTACGCCTTTCCACACCACCGTAATATCTTTTCAGTTTTCTTTCTGTTACACAAAGAAACCTTGTCTCGAAAAACCAAAAAGGAAGAAAGAAAAAGAAAAAAGCCATTGCTCTATTATAACCCATCTCCTATATAAATTTTGATTGGAAGTATATACATATGTATGTTTTTGTTCAAGAAAAATTAGGTGGTTGCAAACAAAAGACTTATCCAAGCTGGATCAAAAGGACAATGTTCAACCATGCACCCACTAAAAGAAATAAAAATCGACTTGATAAACTTCACATTCAATTGCTATGCCACACAATTTCTCTACTTTCAGGGAATTCTTTCGATGTAATTTATTTAATGTTTTCCTACTTTGTACTATAGCCTTCAGAACAACATCATCAACAATCACCTTAAGTATGGATGCATTTATTTACCAAATAGTCATCTACTTTGTACAAAAGACACTGTAAACCACTAACTATGCAAAATAGACATGTGGATTTCACAAGTTAATATAGCTAAGGAAAGCATCACAAACTGATACTCTTAAAATACTGCTAGAAACAACTTAATGGTAGTAAACAATAATGAGTCAATTTCATCAGCAACTTGCTAGGCTCTGGTGGTGAATTCTTATTATATGTAACCATATTCTTCTAACAATCCCTGTTTCACTGTGGAAGCACAAAATATTGATAAGTAATTGACTTAGAGTTACTCATCATTACTTTAGCAGACCGAATCTGAACCCAGATTTGTCTGATATCCCAGCTCATGCTTCTATTCCGCATCCTTCCAGTCAGTATTATTAACAGAGCAGTCTGTATGATGTTAAATTAAACAAAATTTGGCCTAAAGATGGCTCTATACTTGACCAATTACACAAGAAACTGCAAGGTAACTTAAGAAAAAGGTTAAATGAAAGCCTGTTGGAGTATACTTTTCTAACAAACAGCTCAGTCTCAACCATTCACAGCATTCCACCTTCAATCAGTAGCTGGGGGTAACTGTTCTGACCCTATGTTCTCACTTGTATTTTGTTCCTGTGGTAAACATCATGACTCAAAGCAACTGCCGGGAGAGAATGGTTTATTTGGCTCACAGGTAATAACCCAACTCTGAGCTAAGCCAAAGTAAGAACTGAAGGCGAGACCATGGAGGACTGCTGTTCACTGGCTTGCTTTTCATGGTTTTCTCATCTGCTTTCTTATATAACCTAGGACCACCTGCCCAGGGGTAACACTGCCCACAGTTGGCTGGGTTGGTCCTTGAACACCAATCATTAAACAAGAAAATGACCTCAGGCTTGCCTACAGTCCAATTTGATGGAGGCAATTCCTAAATTGAGGGTCCCTCTTTCCAGGTGACACTGGTTTGTATCAAGTTGACAAAAAACTTACCAGCTCACTACGCTTAAAAAAAAAAAATCAAGCACTAAGCTGTAATCAATCAAGCTGTCACTTTGCCTCAACTCTGTTTTCTGTACGTCCATTTTCTGTCCAAAACATGTGGCATGGCCATGTTGAAGAACAGCATCTTTGAACCTGTTCTGGCTTTCTGGACTTTCTGGTTTGTGAATCATTCTTTGTTCAAATTGATCAGTTTGTTTAAACTTTTTATTTTTAAAAAGGAAGAGTTGTTACCTGTGATACAGAGTCCAGAAATCTCTAGAATTACTTTAAAAGGTAACTACTGGCTATGATTTTGCAATTTGAGATTTTGGAGCTATATCCTAACATCTCCAAACTCTTAATTTTATATGTGATATATGGCTCCCAAACCTTAACACACCAAGCATTTCTATGTTATTTCTCCAGTGTCCCACCTCATTTATCAGGGTAGGAGACAGTACAGAAGTTTGGGGGCCAAACTAGAATCAGCTTCTTTCTGTCATAATGAACAGTTATTAAATCATAAATAACAATACTATGTTTTCAAAAATCTATCTTCTATCTGTGATCATTTTTTAACAGAAGCTGATTTCAACTCCAGGCCTGTCTGGGCCACAGAGTGAGACTTTGTCTCAAAACAAGCAAATAACCAAAAACCAAAAACAGTGATTTCAGGGTGGAGGAAACAGTTGTGTTCAGGATGACTTTCAGTATAAGTTTCATTGCTTCATCCATCCTTCGCTTATTTCTAATATTTTTTGCAATATTCACACCAGAGTAGGAGGTTTGGGGAGTAACTTCTAGATATTTTCTAGTTTTCAGCTCATTAAATATTTATAGAGTAGTTTGAAGGTTTGGAGAGGAAAATAAGAAATTAAAATGACTCTTTTTCCTGAGGACAATGGACTCAGATATCTCATATAACACCAGCACTTGGGAGGCAGAGGGAAGAGGCAGAGGCAGGAAAGAGCACCCCACATTTGAGGCTATCCTGTTTGGTATAGTGAGTGCCAGGCCAACCAGGACTGCATAGTGAGACCCTTCTCACACACACTCACACACACACACACCATATAAAATTATGACTTCTCTCTGAAGGAACTGTTTCAGATCAGTTTCAAAGCATTAGCTGTATTCAGCAAGAGTCCCTCCTTCTTAAAACAAAAAATGAAACAGACTAATACAGTATGTTTCAAAACAGCCATTCAAAACCTAGAGAATATATTTTCTGTCTGACACACACAGGATAACATAAACAAGTTTTTTTTTTTTTCATTCTGCAGAATGAAACATTTCTTTCAAAGCTGAAAATTCACCAGGCTTGGTAGAGCAGGCCTGTAACCTTAGCTACAAGGAAGGCTGACGCAGGAAGATTGAAAATTCAAGTGTAGCTCCAACAACATAGACAAGCACTGTCTCCATTTTTTTTTTTAAGTTTAAAAAGTGTGTGTGGTGGCAGGGGGTGGAACAGTCTGGGAATACAGCTCAGAAGAGAGCTTGCTTGTCCAGCAATTATGAGGCTAGAGGTTCTATCCCCAGCATTCCAAAAAAGAAGTGACCCTTTCAATTTTTAATTTTCTGAAGCATGCTGATTATTTTTAAGAGAAAATAAAGAGAAATATGCACAATCTACCCCATTCTCCACTTCAGGGTGTCTGTGGGGAGAGGTCCCGGGGAAAACATTTGGCAAAGGTGGAGAGGAATCTCAGTGAAGGCTAAAGCCAAGACCTGGCTATAGTGGGAGGGAGAGATAGAGGATGGTGCCGACTCTCCCTGGTAACAGGGAAGGGAGAAGTCCAACCTCCAGACGGTGAGGCCACTTGTGGGTACTCAGATTGGCGAGGATCTGGATGAGTGACGGGTGGGGCCTGAGGTGCTCGCTCGCGGCGGGGAGCTGGGGCGGGGCCTCCTGTCGCACTGGCCTCCTGAGCAGGGGAGCTAGCTTGGCAGTGACGCGGGGCCCTCACGTGACCCGGGGCTGCAGAGCGACGCAGCCTTGGGTGCAGTCGTCACTTGCGTCTGGTCTCCGGCTCCGCGCTTCCCTGCGCAGGGCGGGCTGGCATCGGGCCCTGGGCGAGCGGCGCAGGTAAGGGGCCCGCACGCAGCGGCCCTGACGGCGACAGCCTCCCGATGCGCCGGAGCGCGCTGCAGGACGGCGCGGCGGCCCCGCGGCTTTCTGCATGGCAAAGGGAACCGTGGCTGCGCCCGGGGAAGGGGCGCCCCTGCTTGCGGGCGGGGATGGCGGGGGTCTCGGGGAAGGGCCGGCTGGGCCGGCTGGCAGAGGCCAGTGCTAGACCCAGCCCTGGAGAGCATGGAAGGGACGGGCTGTTGGTGGCCGTGGGAGGCGGGGAAGGATGGGCAGTGGGGGTGCGGGCGGAGGAGGGGGTGCGGTACTGAGCTCCGCGCTGAGTCGCTCCGATCCCACCCTGTCTGCAGGTCTGCAAGCCGAGAGTCGCGGCGGCGAGAATTGAGAGGAGGACTCGGCGGGCGGCGAGGGATAGGCCCAGGTCGGTTCAGGGCAGTGTGTGTGTTTGGGGAGGGGGGGGGCGGAGTGGGGGAGGGGAGGGCTGGAGGAGCGTGCGGAAAGCCCTGTCTGGGACCCCAATGAGAGCCCCTACCCCACCCCACTCTGCAGCTCAGTCCTCCATTTTGGTGCCTGCGGAGCTCAGGGAAAGGATCCTGGGAAATAAAAAATGGTGGGCTTTGGAGGTAGAAGGGAAATGAGTGAGCTGGGGGGAGGGGCTCGAAATTTAGGCTCCCTAGAGGTTGCCTGGAGACTCTTAAGGTCGGGAAAAAAAATGATGAAAACTTTTGTTGTTAGTCTCGGAATATTGCTGGTCAGTGCACCAGGCATTCAGTTTCTTTCCTTGCCCTGTCTTACTTGTGTTCAAAGAATAACAACCAGAAAACAAAATCTCATCATGGCAAATATCCACCAGGAAAACGAAGAAATGGAGCAGCCCCTGCAGAATGGGCAGGAAGACCGCCCTTTGGGAGGAGGTGATGGCCACCAGCCTGCAGCAAACAACCACCACCGAAGAGGACAGGCTCGCCGACTTGCCCCTAACTTTCGATGGGCCATACCCAATAGGCAGATTAATGATGGGTTGGGTGGAGATGGAGATGATATGGAAATGTTCATGGAAGAGATGAGAGAAATCAGGAGGAAACTTAGGGAGCTACAGTTGAGAAATTGTCTGCGTATTCTTATGGGGGAGCTCTCTAATCACCATGATCATCATGATGAATTCTGCCTTATGCCTTGACTTCAGCCATTTTCATGAGATTCATACTGTGATTCCCGATGTATTCCTTTTCCTTGCATTTTCCTGACATGCCTTTACTGATCTGTTTGTGGTGAGCCTTGTGTTATTTCCATGTGCCAGGTGGGTCTTGTGTTGCCAACTTCTAATTGGAGATTGCCTTCCCACTCAGTGTGAGTTCCTGTCAACAGTACGGTGTTGCCCATTTGCATGGAAAAACTGTAAAGTAAATAAAGCAAATGAAAAGCAACCTGAATATTTATTATTGTCTCCGTAAAGCATATATAAATACATAAAAATGAACCACAAAAAGTCTGAAATTCAACAGTATTGGGGGCACATGTATATAATTAATTTTTCCTTTATTTGGAGTTTCATAAACTTCCAGTGATTTTTATGAACTTATTGCAGATGCATATAATTATTTGCTCAACAAACTTAAAGCGTAAATCCTCTTATAAATACAATTTCTTAGAATTGTCCTTAGTCGCGGAGAATGGAGTTTTACAAGGCTGTGGAATAGACCGGATCAGGTGTGGGACTCTCCTGGTTTAGGTTTTTCCCTACTTGTCAGCAATCAATAAGGCCAGGCCTCCAGCCTTCATTAAGTAGTTGGGGGAAACTGAGGAGAATCCTCAGTCCTTGGCCATACTCCCAGTTTCATACAGGAAAAAGAGGTGGGTTCCTCTATGTCATTTGTATGTTGCAGTCCCGTCTCTGATTACAGGTATGTGATTTGGGCATCCCCTCTGCTTCCTGTTTTCTGTACCTAGGGATGGCATGCCTATAGTCCTCAACATAGCTAAATCTGATTTGTTTATAAAGTCTGTAGTGTAATTAGTATGATGGTGTGGAAAATGCCTGTATAACTTGACATATTTATCCAGGTGAGTATAATCCCCATGGTTCTTGACTCAAGAAAATAGCCCTTTCTGGTTTTAGTTTTGTGCCCCCCTTCAAAAAACCTCCGGCATGGGTGCACTGAAGCCTAGCACAATAGATAAGAGATGCCTTTCAGGGTTAGGTCCAGAGTGCATTACTGTAAACCTCCAGAACACAAATAGGCTAACAGCTTCATGATGTTTCTACCGTAAAGCAGCCTCTCAGCAGGCCTGCCCACCCAGTTTAATAGACTTACTAGAAACATCATTCACTGAGGAACAGGCATTCTTGGGCTGCATCCTGTTTGTCCCATCCACACCTGAAACATAAACTTCATTGTGAGCTCTTAAAAACCATGTGAAGCAGTTTGCTTTATGATTTTTATGTAAATGTGTATCCTCTAGACAGTAATATTGTCTAAATTTTACTGTTGAACAGTTAGGGCCTGACAGAGTAATCAGAAATTGTTGATTATTCTGATAGGTTAAGTATAGTGGAGTTAGAAACTCTGTTTGATACTGTTCCTAATTGACTCTCCATAACAGAAGGCTAGTAATCACTGATCTGGAAACTTTAAAGAAGCACCCCAAAGAAAATCTTTAATTCCATATTTAAAAGTTATAGACCTTATAATATGTTAGTGTTTATGGGAACACAATCACCTACCTGTACACATAAGGGAAATATTAAACTGAATTCATGACACGTGGGTGCTCTTCTCAGCTTGTTGCCCACTGTTAGCAACCTCTAAATCAGAGATTACTATTTTTAACAGTTACCCAGTTGATTTTTCATGTCTTAAGTTTTGACAACATAGGTAAAAAGAAACTGGCAGAAATCTCACCATTTTACATCATCTGAATTACCTTACTCGATTACACAATATATAGTTCTAAAATTAGAGATTATACTGTATTAAATATTCAGTGTATGAGTATAGTTAAGCTAGTACTGTCTTTAATTTTTAAAATTGTTCAGTTAAGTTACTGCATTATTATGAAAAATTATGATACTAAAATTATACATTATAATTTCTGTATAGGTCCATGCCCTGTCCACTTATAACAATAATTTTGTCTTTGCATTCCTGAAGCTCAGTGTTTGGCACAGTGCCTAATATGACATATATTTAATAGCAAAAAGGGCATGTATTTAATAAGTTATTAAATAATTTCATAGTTATTAATCTAAAGTCATATACAACAATCCATAGTTTTGTTTCTGGTTAATTTATTTTTTATACACAACAAAGTTTTAATGAAGAACATTCAAAACTTACTATCTTTTAGAAATGTACATTGAAAGGTCATTATGCATATTGAGATTGTGCTGAAAACTAAGTAAGAGCATAAGTAACAACAATCCAGTCACCCAGGAATATAATTTTATTTTTTTGTCTTTGTCCTATATTTAGTCACAGCGGGGTCAGATGCAGGGCCTCATAGGAAAAAAACACTGCCTCTTTCTCACCTGTGAAGTTGGGTGTGGTGGCATTGGCCTGTAATCCTAGAATTTGGGGGTGGAGGTAGGAAGATTTTGAGTTTGAGGCTACCCGGGGCTACATGAGACCCCCACCCCCCCCAAATTAGCTTTCATTTAGCCAAACTCAGGAGCCATTTTCAAGGCAGCACATTTCAGTTGGCAGCATTTTGAAGATAAATTCTACTTACTTTTGCTTACTATATAGAACAAGATAGAACTATTTACTTAAGATTAAAAATTGTCCCAGTAATAGAAAAAAGTCTGGTTTCCATTAACAAGATTATCAAAATCCCATGTCTATTCTGTCTCCTTTCCTGTTAATCACATGTATTATGTAATGCCATGCTGATCTTGGTTAGAAAGAGCTAGCCTTTAGATGTTCAGTATTTTATTTGCACTTGTATAATAACTGCAACCGAGACAGACGAAGAGAACCCACCTGTCTCTGGGGCACTAGGTAAGTATGAAGCACTGTTAAACGTCACCACTACTATCAAATTATGTTCATTTTTCTGTGTAAATATGCAGACATTGGGGGATGGATAGGGCAACTGGACTCCTAACTAGCTGTTATTGGACTCTTTCATCCTACCCTGCCTGCCTTGAGCAAAAGGACTATCAGCCAAACAGCCAACCAAACTCTGCCTGTGTGGGCATCAGCCAGTTTGAACACTCCACAGAGGATGTGAGAACACTATACAAAGATTGCAGCTGGCTCCCCCACCTCCTGGAGGTTCATTCGGGGATGTCTGAAACTGTTTATATTTAGACCTTTTGCTTTTGCAAACCTTAATGAACTCTAGACAAGCAGGTAAAAGCCTGTAGGATAAGACAGGTCTGTCTAGAAGTATTAAATTAAATTGCCATTCTTAGGACTGCAGTAATAACTACAGAAGTAGATAAAATCAGCCAAGGAGAACATCGAGACTGAGAGATTGGACTTGCAATGTTTAGAGAAGAAATAGAGCTCAATTCCTAAGACTCCAAGTTTGTAATTTATCAGAAGCAATTCGATTAAAATCTACAGCCCGTCCCCTTCCTAGTCTAAGAGAAGCAATGAAAAGAAAAAGTATAAGATGGTGAGAAAATGTTCACATTAAGGATATGACAGAGAAAAGATGAACCTCAGAGAATGGTGAAACGTACTCTATAAGAAATCTGCTATTGTTTTTTAAACATCACAGAAAGCAATGAATGTCCTATAGATAAACAGGAACATTTAAGAAAGGAATGAGTTAAGGCAACGAGGGTTCTGTTGATAAACAGGAACATTTAATAAAGAAAAGCTGTCAATCAACCCACTAGGAGTCTCATACTCCTTAACTTACATGGCTCCATGAAAGCATGCTTCATTACTTTCCCTGCTGCTGTGATTAAATGCCCTGACACAAGCAACTTAAGAGAAAAGGGGTTTGTTTTGGCTCACAGTTCAAGGGGACAGTTTGTCATGGTAGAGAAAGCATGGGGGAAGGAGCTCTGAGGTGGCAGCTGGCCACATGGAGTCTGCAGGCAGGGAGCAGCGTGTGACAGATACCGTTCTGTTAGCGTTCTCACTTTTCTTGCAGTCCTGGACCCCCTTCCCAGAATGGCCCCACCCACATTTAGTATGAGTCTTTTCACCTCAATTAGCTTAACTGAGATAAGCCCTGACACCTGTACCTGGGGGCTAACCTAATCAAGATGATCCCTGACATACATTTCCCCAGGCTTGTCTCTGGAGATTCCAGATTCTGTCAAGCTGATAGTATTAACCATGACAAAAGTAAAAAAAAAAAATCAGAATGCAGTAATGATAAGCTACTTTTCTGTCACCATGACAAATACACACAGAAATCAACTTCAATGAGGAGAGATGTATTTTTGCCTCACGTCCTCAGAGATTTCGGCCTTTATCAGTTGGTTCTGTTGCATTGGGCCTGAGGTGAAGCAGAAGCAGCAAGATTTAAGAATACGTGGCAAAGACTGTTCACTTTCTGTCAGGATGCAGACAGAGACAGGAAGAGGCCAGCCACAAGTTCTATTTTGCAAGATATGTACGAGCTGACCTGCTTCTTTCAACCAGGCCCTACCTCTTAGCTTCTACCAACTCTCAATGTGGCCATCATTGTGGATTCATCAAGCTGAGGCAGGATAGAAAGACAGGGGAAATAGTGGGGGACGTGAGAAGGAGGAAGAACTCCCCCTTACCCTTGAATCCAATCAAAGCCTCTTGCCAGCAAAGAAGCGAGAATTCCAGCATACTGCTATTAACAACTCCTAGCCAGCTGCTATTGGACTCTTCCTACCTTGCCTGCCTTGAACAAGAGGCCTTTCTCCCTTTCCAGCTGAAAAACCTGAATTTTCTAGCAAACTCACTAAACATTCCATTTACAAGGAAAGGACATGTACTAATCATCTTGTGTAACACTAGTGGCTTCTGGTTTTCTTTTATCAGATTATAATTCCACCTAAGCCATCCTCATAGTCACCTTATAATGTCCTTTATCAAAGGAGGAGGGGGAAAAAGATTTCTTAGCTATCTTCTGAGATGTAACCTGAGACCACCGAATTAGTATATAAGGCTAGTGTTGACCATTAATAGCTTACTCTCCCTTGGGGAGTCCATACCCACACTCGGGTACACCTAATGCTCTGCCACTCTTTCTTTGAGAAGCTCATACTCATGCTCACAGATATGTCTCACTTTCTTCGGAGAGTCTGGCTTTCTCTCAACTGTTGTGCTTAAGTTTTTATCAAAATAGCTTTGATACAAATCTCCACACTGCTTCATAAATTGGCTATTCCTGATATTCCTTTCAGTAGCAAAGCCACAAAATCCAGCCTGAGCTGAGGTCCCTAAAAGCTTAGGGGAACTCTTAAGCTGCCGAGAGTGGCAGTGTGGAGCTG